CATGAATAACCCTTAGGAGGCTTGTAGAGTGTTCCGGGGGGTGGGGGTGGGGCAAAAATGAGTTTTAAAAAGGCCAGTTTTTTGCCAAAACAGGCATATTTTTTGTCAAAAATTGGCATTAGGAAGCTTATAGAGTGCTCCTGGGGGCTGGGGCAAAATTGAGCAAAGAACGGTCCATTTTTTTGCGCATTTCTGCCCTCCCCAGCCCCAAAGAGCTCTCTGAAAGCCTCCTACAAGCTCTATGCATGGCCATTTTGGTGAAGGGGCGGGTTTCCAGGGGCCAGAAAAATGCTGTATTAAGTGTATAAGACGCACCCAGTTTTTCAGCCTCTTTTTTGAGGGAAAAAGGTGCGTCTTATACTCTGAAAAATACGCTCCCCCCCCCACAGCAGGGGTGGGTTCCGACTGCTGCTACTGCCAGTTTGTTCAGAGATGCTCTGTGCACACACACTCAATACGCATTATGTGCTCATGCGCAGTAGTTACAAAAATGCTTTTGCGCATGTGCAGAAGCCAAAAACAAGATAGGCGCCATCGAGAGAACTGGTTTGGGGCCGTGGCAGGCCAAGTTACTACCTATTCAGCCAAACCTGTCCAAACTGATAAGAACTCACCTCTGCCTCACAGGTAAGAAACTATGATGCCCGTTGCATTGGGGCATACTGTACTCATTTGCTCTTGCTCTAGAGGTCGGAGTGGAGACCAGGTAAGCTGCTTGAGTAACTATGCAAACTGTTCTGCCAAACAAGACATGCATCAAGACATTCCAATGCACATCTTAAAATACATGGATTTTAATCTCTAGTTCTGTACATAAAAAGCAAAGGGGGGAAAAACACCCAAATAAAACAAATACTATTCCAGTGCACTTCTTAACTTGGTTTTAATCAACTCATAGGTCTGTACATCGCTATCCATAAAAAGCAAACAATAAATAAACAAATACCATGAGGTTTAATGGGAGGAATGTCATCCATCAAGCAGCTTATAGCAGAACGGGTAAAATTATTATTAATCTCATTTTAAAAGGATCATAAGGAAGGGATTTCCTTAATGGAGAGAAGAATGAGGCAGAATACTTACAACATTTGTTGCTTTAGTTTGTTTTTTGGCCGTCCAATAGGTTTTGTGTAGCGTCGCCTTATCTGGGAAGCTCGCTCCTGAAGCAACTTCCCTCCCTTTTTCTTTGGTGTGCAGACTTGACAAACCCACATACCTGTATTCAATATGAAACAGAGCTGATTAATTTTGCTACCCCTTTGCCTACATCACAAGCTTCCAAGTCCACTGATTGTTGAGAGATAATAGACAGTTCCATGAGCCTCTTGTATCAAGTACCGTGCTTCCACGAAAATAAGACAGGGTCTTGTTTTCTTTTGATCCCCACGAAATAAGTGCTTGGCCTTATTTTTGGGGAGGTCTTATTATTTTTGAGGTGCAGGAGGCAGTGAGTATGGTCCCCCCATGGCTACTGCTGTGTTACAATATTTTCGGGGAGGGCTTATTTTTGGGGGGGAGGACTTATTTTAGCGCATGCGCTCAAAAGCCCTATTAGGCTTATTATCCAGGGATGTCTTATTTTCAGGGAAATATGTCCCAAATGTCATGCCATTGTCTTGACATAAAGATGAACATTGGACAGCAATGTACTAGTGCGCCTATTCATACCATGCAAGTCAATGGGTTATCTGTGTGTTTCAATCTCCGTATACAAAGATATGGGGGCAGGTATCAATGTCCAAGAGTATCTAGATTTCTTTTCAGAAATGAAAAAAGACAGCAGAGATGACTTTTTTCTCAAAAGAAACACTTTTTAAAAGTTCTGTTTACAGATTTCAATATTTGTAGCTTGGGGCTGAACTGTGGGGTCCTTGGTGCTCTCTGAAATTGGCTGTTTTCTTAAGAGATGTTTCATTACCCAAATTAGATAACATCACAGCGCTAAAAAGGGGAAGGGGAATGTCTGATTTGTATGGAGTGCCCAACTTCCAAGAATTTGGATTCCAGTCCTAGGAAAGACAGGGTCTAAAAGCTGGGAAGAGCTACCAAAGGAGGCATGACATCACAGATTGTAGACTCAGTCTGATTGGATGCTGGACAGAGTTAACCCATTCCTGGATGCTATCTCCACCAACTATGGAGAATAAAGATGTCTTCATCATGTCTTCTGCCTGTTTTGTCCTACAGGGTGGCTGGTACAATCCATGCATGGTATTCTGTAGAAGACTCCTGTTTGTTATTTTCCTTCTGGGGCTGCTGGTTTTTTCAGTTTACTTAGGATGTTTAGGATATAATTATGTAATATACTGGTAACATTGATGGGAATTTTGTTGACGATAAGTTTGTCCCTCAGTTAAGAAATATTCTTTAAATACCAGCTGTTACTCTTTGGGCTGATATGCTTGATGCCCAATTTTAAAGTGTCTTTTATCCTTCTTTTCGAGTAGTTGTTTTGTCTAGAAGAACTTTTGTTCTCTCATCTTAAAGCTTAGCCTGATTGCTTCTAATCAAGCTCTCCCATTCTACGCATTTTCTTATTTTCATTTCAGTTTTCCTTTTCCAAATCTCGAGCTTCAGTAAGAAAATTAGAACAAGCTTAGATACTTTTAAAAGAGAAAAAATTATTTGCAGGTAGTGCTCAACTTACAACCACTCATTTAGTGACCATTCAAAGTTACAATGG